CAGAACCAGGCAGTGTTTCCTGGTGTTGTACTTGGGATCTCCCTGAGTGGGAGCTGATTTGATGGCAGCCAGCAGCAATGATAGCAGCTTCTCCTAGGGTTCCCTAGAAGGTGCTCCATGTCATTCATCCCCAGAGAAGTCATGTGTCCAAAGTCTTGGTCTTAGCTCCACCTCCAATTTAGACATGAGAAAATAAGGCCTAGAGTGGGGAAGCCACCTGGTTGAAGTCACCCGGCTGGTGGGAAGTGGAGGAGGCAGGATTGGGCCCGAGGTCTCTCTGAGGCCACAGGCTGTACTGACCCATCAGACAGGAAATCAGAGCCGAGGACTGGCTGCTGGGTGGTGATGGGGGTCAGGGTGAAAGCAGGGACTCCCAGAAGTCTTGCTGCACCTGGCTGGGCTGGGACCCCTTGGTGATGCCTACGAACTACTCCCTCTGTTCGTGCTGTGAGGTCCCCAGGCCTGGCTGCAGATCTAACACCTTCTGCTGCTGAGTTCCGATCGGAATCTGGCTTGGGGGCAGGGGGTGAAATTGAACCCCAGTGGACCTGCTCTGGCCTGGATGGTATAGCAGGCACCCTGGCCCCTCTCCTTGGCCCTACCCAGGGCATGCCAGGGGTGGCCTTCTTGGAACCTGGAGAGCCTGTACTCACCCTGGGGCGCTGGGTAGACTGTGGCTTGGGCCCCCTGCTGCATGGTCCCCAGGGAGCCCTAGCCCTGGCTCTCCGCCCTTGGAGCTCAGGTGAGCCGCTGGATCAGGTTCCTGCGGTTTCATGTCCTGCATTGTTCTTGGCTAGGCCCTGGCTTATGAAACAGTAATGAGGGGCCCCTGTTCCCGCGGCCGGCCCCTCTAAGGTTTCCACTGCCTCTAACGCTGCCACCGCGGCCTGTTGTTGGGGACTGGGAGGGCGGCAGCGCGGGGGCTGGAGCCAGAGCCCCCCGGGGACAAGGGTGCTGACAGCCGCCAGCCACCACATCATCATAGAAGCCCGCTGCCCAGGTAACCCGATAGGAGGCAGGGCGTGGGGTTCAGTGGCCACAGTCTCCCACCACCAGGGGAGGGCCCTGCCACCTGGGAGATGGGAGGGCTGGGGGGGCCTCCCCGGAGGTGAGCAGTCGTTCCCCCCGGGTAAGTCCAGCATAAGCCCTGACAGGCAGGTGTGGCCGGCTGAGGGTGGGAGGGAGGCAGGAGTCACAAGCAATGGCTCAGGCCCCTGCACCCTGCCTTGTCCTTCCAGCCCTGGAGCCCCTTGTCCCTCCTCTAGAGACCAAATCTGTTTTCTCGCAAAGCCTTGTTGTCCTCCCTCAGACTGCCTCTTCCTCCCTCTGACCTGACCCCCTCTCCAGGCCTGCCAACCCTTCCTCCGTGCCCTTCTCCTTTATTTGTTCTTTCCTTCTGGCTCAAAAAGACCCTTTGGGGTTCTTCCTACTTCACGTCCTCAGAAACTCACACACCCATACCAGCATGCACAGGTAAGTCAACATACTTGTATTCATGCAAGCATACATTAGACCTGCACACACATGCAAACCACATCCATGTGCACACATATGCCCCCAAAAGCAGACTCAGACCTATGTATGTACGCATGTACTTACACCTCAGCCTATTCATGCATGCTTGTGTCTACAGTGTGTACATACATGTACATGTTTGTACACACATGCACGCACGCACATGCCTATGTATCCTGGGCCAGTGTCGGCTTGGGTTCCCAGGGACTGTCATGCCCTCGTGGGTGGCTCTTCTTGAGAAGTACAAGCTCTGGGAGGAGATGTCTGAGACTGTCCTAGGCTGCTCCGTGGGGGGAGGAACCGAGCAGGGGGAGGGGAAACCACCACATGGGTGTTCAGCTACCTTCCATCTCCAATTCTGTCCCAGGAGCCTGGGAGTCCTCCGAGGGCTGAGGCGCCCTATTTTGACCTGCCCCGCCGCTGCCCGCCTGTACCCAAGAACATTCTCAGTGCCTCCACCGCTGGCTGCCAGTCTGGGGTGGGCCCAGATCTCAGGTGGGTAGAGCCTAAGGTCCTGGGAAGGGTTCCCTGGGATAGGACGCCCTTCCCTACTCCACCCTGCATCCCTCTGTTAGTGCAGTGTCTGTCTGGGGTGGCTGTTGGTGTAGGTCATATATGGGCAATCCACGTGGTCTGGGCCCAGGTGGGCAGATCACACTGCCCCTGGACCTCTGAGCCTATCCTCCCAACCTGTCTGTCTCTCCCTGTAGCCGTGTCCACTCAGTGGTACTCAGCTTTGCTCCTGGACGCACAGGGTCTGCCTGCTCACATTTACTGGTTTGCTTTGCACACGCATGCAGGGCACTGGTCACCCACCTAGTGTGCACACACACTTCTCTAGGCTCTGAGAATCCATCCACAGCCCCTCCTCTCCAGGCCTGAGCTGAACTGGAGTCTCATTTGGGGACATGGACTCTTGGGAAAGCATGGTTTTGGAGTCTAGAAACCTGGTTTCCAGCTTCAGCTCTACCCCAGTCAGGCTGTGGGAGAGACCTTGGGGACTTTCATCTATCAGGACCTTCAGTTTCCCTGTTTGTAAAAGACAGAGTTAAGTCCAGTCAGCATTGCTTTGCAAACATGTGTCCCTCACAGATAGGCACTACTTTAAAAAAAAAAAAAAAAAAAAGACTGTTATGAAATATCAAATATGTTTCAGAGAGTCTTGGATAAAGCAAAGTTAAGTATCTTTCCTGCAGGACTTGTCAGAACCTTTGGTTAGCTGGTATGCATTGTGGCTTTTAGGTGTGGGGAGGTAAGAGAGGTAGACGGTGTGTCCCAAACTTCTTTGGTTGCAGAACTTGTTTTCATGGTTATCAGTGATTACCATAGTCTAGGTTATTCTGGGATCACTGTGGGATACTGCTAGCTCCAGGGCCAACAGACTTCTCTAAATCTAGGACCCCCCTTGGCATTCAAGCTGGTGGTCCTGTCACTACCTTTCAAAGCCCCACCTCAGCTTAGCATGACGATACTGTCTTCTTAGTGACAGGGGGCTGGGGCTGGGGCTAGTGCATCGCCCTGGTTTATAACGCAGCATTGTTGTTGTTGTTAAGTGCCGTCGAGTCGATTCCAACCTATAGCGACCCTGTACAGGGTTTCCAAGGCTGTAAATCTTTACGAGAGCAGAACGCCTCATCTTTCTCTCATTGAACAGCTGGTAGTTTCGAACTGCTGACCTTGCGGTTCGCAGCCCGATTCGCCCTGGTTTATAAAGCAACGCACCAAGTGCTAACTCTGGGCTCTTGGCCAGTCTTTGTGACCTCTCTGAGCCTCAGTTTCTTCATCTGTAAAATGGGAGTCATGATTCTCACTTAATTGGAGCCTTGGTGGGGGAGTGGTTAAAGGGCTTGGCTGCCAACTGTAAGGTTGGCAATTCAAACCCATTAGTGACTCCAAGGGGGAAAGTTGTGGCAGTTAAGCCTCTGGCCTCCAATTTATGTCCTTGGAAACCCGGAGGCAGTCCCACCCTGTCCTAAGGGTTGCTTTGAGTTTGAATCCATTAGACGGTAGTGTGTTATACTCACTTAAAGGGGAGCTGTGGTAGCTGACTGAGGCAATCCGTGTCAAGTGTCCAGCTCCCTCTTCCAAGCTAGGGTGCAGCTTTCTGGCCCCTTGTGTGATTGTGTGGATCCAGGCTGGGGTGGAGGGAGTGGCTGTCAGGCTGTAATTCTGTGTCTCCTCTCTCAGGAGCCCACCGTCAGAGCTCTCTGAAGAGGTCCCCCCAGTTGCTCTCGGGAACAGGAGCCCGGAATGTGAGGTGGCGCCCTTTCCCGAGGGCCTGCCTGCCTCTCGTCGTGGCAGCCGCGACAGGGGCCTTGGTTCCGGTTCCAGCCCCGACAGGGAGAGCTCTGATGATACCAGCAGCTTGTCCTCTGTGGTGAGCTGGGGATGGGAAGCCCGGGAAGAGGGCAGGTCATCCGTCTGTCCCCAGCCCAGGGATTCTACCCTAACTGTCAGCCAAGGACTGCTTGAGTGTTTCATGTCAGGGAATAGGAGCAAAGCTTTCTGGAGACTCAGCTGGTCGCTCAACCAGCCACCCAGACTGCCTGCTCTGGGAAAGGGGAGGGGACTCTCCCTGGGCTGACTGAAAAAAAAAGGAGATGGAAGAAGGTGTTCTAGTTGCAAGGAACTCTGGCTGAATCCCAAGCTGGCTCAGACTGCACAAAATACTTATGTCACTGAGGGTCCCAGAGCAAAGAAGGCCCCTGGTCACACACTGCTGAGCCCCATGGCCAGCCCCTGCATAGATTTCCAAGGACCAGAGGAAAGGGAGCAGGGGGGCATTAGCTGGCAGAAGAGAAGACTTAGGGGCTCTTCAGTCAGGCATTTACCCCGGAAAAAGCTGCCGTGAGGTAGGAAAGGTAGACCCCCAATGGGATGTGACAGGAACTACACGTGGTGGACTCAGACCAAAACAGCCCAGCCTTGTGCACACTGGCCTCCAGGCTCAGTGTGAGGCAGTGTGGGCTCATGGGAGTCTCATCACCCCCTCTCAGCTCAAGACTGTGACGGTCTCATTTTGGGGTAAGAAAATGGCAGCTCAGAGTGGGAAGTAACTTACTACCTGAGACCACACAGCAGTGCAGTGGTGGGGCTAGGGTCTGAATCCATATCTCAGTGGACTCTGTGGGGACCGCTAGGCCAAGATTTTCCCTTCCCATTGTGTGGAATCCAACCGACCTGGGGTCAAGTCTCCTTCTAAATATGCCACTTCCCAGCCGGGTGATTTGGATAAGTTCTTCACTTTGACACAGTTCCTTCCTCAGAGGGTTAACTGCCCACGAGCTGAGTTGATACCTTCAATAGTGCTAAGCATACAGCAGGTGCTCTTTAAATGTTACTTCCTTCCACCCATCTCATGCAGGAAGCACAGACTCTGGGATCTGTCTGTTCCCCCACAGAACACGCCCTCTCCTTCCATCCCCTGGCAGGACTCGGACACCGTCAAGGAGCAGGTGGTCCCCAGAGAGGACGAGCTCACTGTGATGATCCCCTGGAAGCCCCAGGAGGGGCCAAGAACTGATAATGTCCGAAGGGCTCCATCTCTCCTCACCAGGACTCCCGTGGGAGGAGACACTGCAGGTCAGAGGAAGGAGGGAATCCCAGTGACCATGGGTGTGACTGGGGCTCAGGCAGCCATCTTGCTGACCATCTCTGGGTTTGGCTTAACTTTGGGGACTCAGGTCTTAATAACAGTTATAGTTCCCATATAATTATGGGACAGCCACAATGTGCTATACTCCCTGCTGTAAATATAGTCTCTCCCAATGGGTGGGCTAGGGCCTTTGGATCCTAAGCGATAGAACTGACTGCCTTGCATAAATGAAAAGTCTAGGGGCACTGACTTTAGGCATGGCTGGATCCAGGTGCTCAGTCAGAAATCTGGTCTTTGCCTTGCTTCCCTCTGTTTGGCTTCATTCTCAGCCAGATAATGGCATCGACTCTCATACAAGTGTGAACTATCGCCCCCACGTTGTTGTTAAGTGTTGTTGAGTTGGTTCTGGCTCATAGCAACCCTGTATAGGGTTTCTGAGGAGCAGTGGGTTTGAACTGCTGACCTTGTGATTCTCAATCCAGTGCTTATCCTACAGCGCCACGCCAGTTCATCTTCTCCATACATGTAGCTGAAGTCCTAGGAAACGTTCGTATTAGACCAGCATGGCAGCTGTGCCCATCTTGGTGATGGTGGGGGGATGGGGTCCGGCCCTGTACAAACCTCATGGCTTGAGGGTGGTGGAAGGGCTACTTTTGAAGGGATAGTGGGGTAATGTTGTCAGAGACGAGAAGCCTGCTGGTCGGGCCAAGCCCCAGTTGGCGAGCAACTGACCAGCACATGAGCCCTCAGTCACTACTACTATGTGCTGCCTCTAGTCTGTGTTTTCAGTACCAATAGGATTTGCAGATTTGGGACTAGAAAATCCAATCTAATCCTGGCTTTCTATGATGGCTCTAGCATTCAGTCATCAACCATGCAAGCACTGTTGTTAGGTGCCATCAAGTCGGTTCCGACTCACAGCAACCTGATGTATAACATAATGAAACACTGCCTGGTCCTGAGCCATCCTAACGATTGCTGCTATGTTTAAGCCCATTGTTGCAGCCAATGTGTCAGTCTGTCTTGTTGAGGTTCTTCCTCTCTTTTGCTTACCTTCTACTTTTGGCAGCATGATGCCCTTCACCAGGGACTGGTCCCTTCTGACATCATGTTCAAATTATATGAGACAAAGTTTCACTATCCTCCCTTCTAAGCAGCCTTCTGGCTGTATATTTTTCAAGACAGATTTGTTCTTTCTTTTGGCAGTCCATGATACATACAGTCTTCTTCACCAACACCGTAATTCAAAAGCATTCATTCTTCTTTGGTCTTCTTTATTCATTGTCCAGCTTTCATATGCACATGTGGCTATTGAATATACCATGGCTTGTATCAGGCAAACCTTAGTTTGTTTTCAAAGTGACATTTTTGCTCTTGAACACTTAAAGAGTTCGTTGCATATTTATCCAGTGCGATACATCGTTTTATTCCTGACTGCTACTTCCATGAGTGTTGGTAGAAGATCCAAGTAAAACGAAATCCTTGATGACTTCAATCTTTTCTCCGTGTATCAGGATGTTGTTTATTGGTTGATGATCAACACAAGCTGTTTGGAAAGCCTGGTGACCTAGACACCTGGGGCGTTCGCGCATCATCTAGTAAGTAGAGCAGACAGTCAGGAGATGATGAATAGCAAGCCCAGGACAGAGGAAAAGCAGAAACAGAGAACCATGCTGCAAGTGAAGAAATGAGCAAAGATTGGGGAGGGCAGATAGGGTAGAGAAACAAGAGGTTCACCCCAGTCAGGGAAGGAATCACTGAGAAGGACTGGCACTCTAGCTGGGAAACAGCGTAGACAAAGGTTTGAGTGTAGATGGGGCTACACAGCTGAGCCAGACTATATTGAACCTTGAGAACCTCATCAAGGAAGTGGGACTTTTCTTCTTTAAGTAGTAGGGAGCTACGGAAGATTTTTGAGGAAAGGGATGTATTTTGGACCTTAGGAATTTCGTGAAGGCAAAGGTGTGGCGGCTGCATTAGAACAGGGTGAGGCTGGAGGATGAGAAACCAGTTCAGAGACTATTACAACTGCTTTAGTGACAACTTGATCTGGAATATTTTCATAGGCTGATGTTAAACTCCTAGGTGAAAAGCTGTGGGGGGAACAAGATATTCACATGCTTTCAAAGGATCACCCTTCAGATTATGCACTGTTGACAGAGGGAAAGAGAACTGGCAGATACCACCTTCAGCCACTGGGCGCTCAACTCCCCATAGCGCCAGCCTGGCATCAGGTGTCCCTGATTATGCACGGGGCAGGGCACGGCAGTCTGTCTCAGTCTTCCTACCAGCAACGTCTCACCTGCGTCTAATCCTGAAGGAACATCAGACAAACCCAGCCCAAAATACTGACCTAGACTCTGTGAAAGACACAAAAGGGCTGGGGAATTGATCTGTATCACGAGCGACTTCAGGGACCATGAGGCTCAATGGTAGGATTCTCACCTTCCATGCATGAGATGTGGGTTTGATTCTCGGCCCAGGTACCTCAGGCACAGCCATTGCCTGTCTATCGGTGGAAGCTTCTGTGTTACAGTGATGCCGAGCAGGTTTCAGCAGAACTTCCAGACTCAGATAGACTAGGAAAAAAGACCTGGTGGTCCTGAAAATCAGCCACAGTGAAAACCTTATGGATCATAGTGTCCCAGCCCACAACTGACCGTGGTGATGACGCAGGCCTGAACAGCATTGCGGTCTGTTGCAGCCAACAACAACAACAGAGTCCTGGTATGGCACTGGAGGATAAGCAAAGGTCAGCGGTTCAAATCCACCAGCCACTCCTTGAAAACCCTATATGGAACTGACTCGACACTTCACAACTACAGAGACTTAGAAGCTATGTGCATCCTGGGATGGGTGCTAGGTAGGAAAAATATAGCTAAGAAAGACATCATTTGGACTAACGGGCAACTTGAATATGGGCTATACATTACTGTTATTGTTAAGTACCATTGAGTTGGTTCCAACTCACAGCAACCCTCTATAGGGTTCCTGAGGACTGGTAACTGGTAGGTTTGAACCGCCAACTTTGTGGTTAGCAGTCCAATGCTTATCCTACAGTGCCACACCAGAATTATTAGATAATAATATGCCAATGTCCTATTTCCTGAGCATGATGGTTCTGAAGGAGATGCATCATGGAAGGGTTAAATGTCATGATGTCTTAGCAACTGGTCTAGCAAGATAGATAGATGATCAATAGGTAGGTAGGTAGATGCTGGTTTCCTAGGGCTGCTGTGACAAAGTAGCGCAAACCAAGTGGCTTCTTCAAACAATAGAAGTTTCTTCTCTCCCGGTTCTGGAAGTGGGAAGTCCAGGATCGGTGTGTCAGCAGCGTCCTGCTCCCTGTGAAGGCTCTTGGGGAGGGTCCTTCCTCATCTCTTCCTGTTTTTGGTGATGCTTGGAGTTAGTTTATAGTAACATCACTCCAATCTCTACCTTTCTTTCTCTCTCCTCCTCCTCTTGTAAGGACCCCAGTCAGATTGGATTAGGACCCAGCCTATTCCAGTGTGACCATTGTGAACCTAATCAATTAATTACCTCTGTCAAGACGTTTATTTCTTAATAAGGCCACTTTTACAGGTGCCAGGGGTTAGGGTTTCAACATGTCTTTTGCGGGGGACATTTAATAGATAGAGAAGCAAGTGGATAAATCAAATGAGACTTGTTAACCACTGGGGACTCTGGGCGAAGAACAGATATGTGGGTGATCTGTGCTCTGTTCCGGCTTCTCTTGCCATTGTGAGGGAGGAGTTAGACCTGAATGAGAGCCATGTTGTGGGATGAAGAGAAGACAGAGCAGGAGTGAGGAGGTGGACTTGATGGGCTGGATGAGTTACTGGATGCCTGGAGGCCAGTTCCATGCTTGGTCGTCTGTATGGATGGCATAGCAGAGGGCAGGATCCTTACAGAGGAGCATACATTTCATCTCAGGAAAGCCTGCAGATTCGCTCTGGGCTTCCCTGCCTCCTCTTCTGGCTCACCCTCTTCCTTCCTGGCTGGCCCGTCTCCATCTCCTTGGTCAATGCCTCATCCTCTGTTCTGTCTCTGAGCACTCAGTGCTTGGCTTTCAATACCAGGTAAATGAAACTGATGATTTTTGAGTCTTATCTCTCTGGCTTTGATCTCTTCCCGAAATTCATCCATCCAGCCTCCTGCTGACTTCTCTGCTGGTACCTCAAACTCAACACAGCTCAAGCAGCACTCTTTCTTTCGTGTGTTCTGTAAGTTACTTATTGAACATTGACTGTGTGCCAGGCTCTGTCCTGGAGCTGCGGAAAGCCTGGTGAACAAGACAGACAAAATCCCACTTGCATGAAACCGACAATCCAGTGGAGGGGAGATAGGCAGAAGACAAGTTTAAAAGTGGACCTGGGAGTGGAAAAGACTATATCAGGAGATGAGACAGGGTGCTGTGGGCGTGAGTGACCAGGTGGACAGGGAAGGCCTGACTGCAGCAAAGATCTGAGTGGCCAGAGATAGAAGGAGCAGCCAGTGCAGAAGCCCTGAGGCATGAACCGCGATGTCGAGTTTGAGAAACAGTGGAAAACCAGTGATGGGCGCAGGCTGGTGCAGTGGGCAACCCTCCAAACCATTCTCCTGAGCTCTGGTCCCTGTCTCTGAAGAGTGCCACTCTGCTCTGAGGCTCAGGCCCCAAATCTCCAGTTGTCCCAATTCTTCTCCTTCCTCGCCCTTTATGTCTAAACATCAGCACCTCCTCCAATCCTGTAACCTGTTGTCATGCACGTGATCTCGACTCCTGGTGTCCCATGGGTGTCAGTAGAACTGTACTCCCTAGGGCTTTCAGTGGCTGAATGTTCAGCAACTGGTTGTCACGCCTTTCTTCCACGGTACATCTGGGTAGCCTCATACTTCTAACCTTTTGGTTATCAGCTGAGCACATTAATTGTTTGCACCATTCAGGGACTCTCCTCCTCTACAACGTACCCATGCCATCTCCATGCCCACTCCCTGGCTAAGTCGTCACTATACTTCATCAGGATTTTCACAGCACCGTTTC